CTCTCTCTCTCTCTCTACTCTCTCTCTCTCTCTCTCTCTCTCTCTCTCTCTCTCTCTCTCTCTCTCTCTCTCTCTCTCTCTCTCTCTCTCTCTCTCTCTAGAGAATTATAGTCCAAGAAACCACAGTCTCCCTCTATCTCTTACCTATCTGGATTGAGGCTGAGGCCCAAGCTCCCTGCAGGGATTGGAAGGGGATGAAGAGCCCAAATGCTCTCCAAAGAGGGATGACCCATCTTGCACCTCATGTATGTCTGATAAGATGAAGTCCCCATAACCCATAACCTCCCATTCTCTCCATTACTCTCTGAAACCAATCTCCCTATCTCTATCACAACTTGCTCAATACAACCCACCATCAATTCCACAGTCCACTTTAGATCTCCTACATATATTATCACTCCTCTCCCTACACAACCTCTCACTATGCACCTTAGCTCTCTGAGCTTGCGCTCCACCTCCTCTCTGCACATATGTCCGAAATTCAGGACTGGTAGAGAGAGAAACTGAACAGACTTAAGCATGTCCGGGACGTCTCCTATCTCTAGTCTCCCCATCAGCTCTCTCACCACACCCTCAGTGCTCAGCGTGCACTCCCCAACAATAACAGTGTTCCTCCTCCTCTTGTTCATTAAACTATCCACCAAGCTCATCACGTCCTCGCTCTTGACGTGATCGAGGCTGCTCTTCACATAGTTCGAGGTGCTGGTGGTGGCGGTGCTCACTGTAGGTAGAGAGAGTGCGGGTAGGGAGAGAGAGGGCTCCTTGCTTGGCTTAGCCGATACAGTGATGGAGCTCGAATTGCAGATCTCTAAAGAGACTGCTTGCTCTACGTTGCTCTTCACTTGTGTGCTCGAAAAACCAGCCTCTCTCATCACTCGACTAACACTTGGGTCATCAAGGATAGAGATTATGAGTTGCTCTATCTCTACCTTCACAGCTAGCAATGGTTGTTGTTGATTCTCGATCGAACCCCTTCGTTGGTGGGCTTGCGCTCTCTTGAAGGCGGCCATGAGAGCGTTAGAGAGAGAAGGGTGGTGGTGGTGGTGATGAGAGAGAGAAGATGGGTGGTGGTGGTGGTGAGGATTAGAGAGTGAAGAGGGGTGGTTAGAGAGAGAAGGGAGGCGGTTAAGGGCCACGTTGAAGCAAAGCTCGAGGGCTTTGCACTGGAGGGGGTGGGAGTGGGACTGGAGGCAGGCGGTGCGGAGGATTCCGCTGGTGGAGGAGAGCATGGCATTGGCAACATGGAGGGGAGTGACCTGAGCATGGCCCCGCCTCCGGGCCAAGCTGACCGCCTGCTTCACTACACTTGCCGCCTCGGCCGTCAGCGCCTGCTGCACACTGCAAGCCCCTGCCCTCATCTCTCTCTATCTCTCTATGCTAATTCTCTCTCTCTCTTCCCTCTACTAACACCTATCTCTTATCTTCTCTCTCCTCTTTCCAACTTTCTCACTCTTTTCTTGCCTGTTTATCTATGTATCCTACTCTAATAGTCTTCCCTCTCCCCTACTTCTCAAACTCTCGTCTCTTTTAATTTCTCTCTCCTACTCTATTGTCACTCTACCTAATTATCAGTCACTCTTCTTTATTTTTTTCTAAATCTCTGTCTATTTGTTCATCTCTTCTCCTCCTTCCTCTTCCTCTGTCTCTCTCTCTCTGGATCTCTCCCTATCTTTCTTCTCCTCCTCCTCTCTCTCTGGATCTCTCCCTATCTTTCTTCTCCTCCTCCTCCTCTCAATCTCTCTTTCAGTCTTCTCTTTCTCTCTCTCTCCTAATTCTACCTCTCTCTCTCTCTCTCTCTCTCTCGTTTGTTGTTGTAGTAAGTA